TTCAGCCAAGACATGGAGGATGGGTATGAGTTAGTCAAGCCCAATATCCTGAGACTTTGCTATAGGAGGGAGGAAGCCTGCTCAGGGAACCCACCAGAATGGCAGGATCAGGTAGCGAAAAGAGAAGAACATCCCTGGGTGAGGCCCAAGGAGTGGCCCACAGGTCAGATCACCCAGAAGCCTCATGACAGTGTTTGGACTGTTGTGTAAGGGGAGATCACGTCATTCCAGCCACGTTTGTAAGGATCCTCCGGTCATAGTGGCACCATCCCCATGGCCTTGAGTTGTGGTTAAGTCAACAGTCACAGTGCTAAGTGCCAGGATATTGGATTCTCTGCACTGCCATCCTCTGGACCCATTGTATTCAGTACCTTTGTCTGTAATATGGGTCAGTAAGCCCAGACCAGGTTATCATAAATGCTAAATTCTTTCCAACTGGGACATAACAATAATAATAAAAATAATAATAACAACACTAACATTTATCAAGTGTTTTCTATGGGCCTAGTGCCGTGCAAAGCACTTCACATGCATTTTCTCCTTGAATCTTCACATGAGCCATGTGAATAGGTAACTATGATTAGATTAGATTGCATGAGCTGACCACCTCATTTTGCAGATGAAAAGCTGAGATCCAGGCAGAAGGCTGTATACAGAGCTCACAGATATCCAGGAGCAGGTAGGGATAGCAATTCGAGTTTCTTAGGGCCACTTTTCGGGTGCCCCTGTGGCACTGGGGCTACCAGCATCTTTTACGCTTCTTTGGGGACTGCACCCCCATCTCCTTTTGGAATTTCCTCTTAGCCAGTGTGGGTGGTCTTGGTAGTCCTAAGGGAGTGCCCTGCCCTATTCTAGCCATGGAGATGCCCAGGGGAGACTAAGCAGACTTTTCCTCTCAGGACTTTGAGCCTTAACCGGAATGACCCAAGGACAGAACACAGAGAGGCGAGCATTTCTTTCTGGTCACTGTTCCTGGAGAGACTGAATTGTCCGGCTCTGTAGATAGCTTGGCATTGCCCGTGTCAAGCCCGTCTCAGCCCTGGCTTCCCAGGTCTCCATCAGTTCTGAGAACTCTCCAATTCCTTCTAGAAAATTTTGTTTAGGATTAAGTTAGTAGGAGCTTCTGTTTCTTGCAACTAAAAAGCCCTGCATGCTGGAGCCTTGTTCATGTCTTCTCCAAAAGAAACAGGAAACTGAACGTCATAACAAGACATAAATGGAATCGAGTCCTGGACAGTAACGTCTTCCGAGTCCCATCTCATCAGCTGCATATTTTGTTCTTCGAGTATCTGCAATTAGGGATACTTTGTACTGGGGTTCAGGTCCACTGACACAGCTGATAGCAAACCTTCTGGATACTGTGGCATCTCCACTCTTACTGTCTAGAATGACTTCCTCCTTCCAAACCCAAATAAACTCTGCACAGCTAAAGCACAATTCTTAGTTGTTTTTTTTTTAACTCCCATTTAGGAAATCATTATTTTTGTGGCAGATATTCTGCTAAGGGTTTTACATATACCATTTAATCATCTCAACAATTCTATGGGCTATACACTATTATTAGTTCCATTGCATTAAGGAAAAACTAGCCCTCAGAGATGGGGGTGGGGTAAATGAACAACCGAGGTCACGTGGCTAGTAGGTGGTGGGCCTTAGATATAAACCCAATTCAGTCCAACTCCTGAGGCCCTACTCTAAAACTCTCAGCTGGATTGTCTGGGAATGACTCAGAGACACCCCATTCAAGTGGTTCTCAATCAGGGAACCCCTGGAGGGAGCAAAGCTGAGTATCAGAATCTCCAGGGAAATTGTTGTTTGAAAAGCACATATAATAGGACATTGTAATTTCATATGTGAAAAGTAGAAAATAAAACCCATCCCATTTTTTTTTTAAATACAAACCAGGACCCCTTTGAGACCATTCACAGGGGCTGCTGTGAATGATTCTGTCCGCGTGTCCCAGGCACGCTGGGCTGTATGATCACCGCTTCACGGGTGAGGAAACTCAGCCTCAGGTAGGGTACGATCTCAGAGCAAACAAGTGGTAGAGTAGGGATCAGAACCCTAGAAGAACAGTGGAGGCACCCAGCATTCTCCCATGTGACCTTCCCAAGAGCCCACGTCCCACCAATCTATCAGGACTGCCATCCATGCTCGCTTATATGGGAGTCTCATCCTCTGTCTTCACGTGGCCTTCTTCCCTGTATTCGTATGTGCCTCTGTGCCTCCTCTCCTCTTCTTATAAGGATACCAGTCATTGGATTTAGGGCCCACCCTCAACCAGTATGACCTCATCTTAGTAACTACATCTACAAACATGCTATTTCCAAATAGGGTCCCATTCTGAGGTTCCTGGTAGACATGAATTCTGGGGGGACAAAATTCAGCCCAGTGAGGATGGGTAAGCACCTCCAGGGCTGGATTTATGACATTGATCCACTCTGCTCTCAGTGCCTAAACTGAAGAGTCCACGCCGTAGGCCCCCAACGATCCTGGTTGGACCCACTCACCAGCATGGACCAGCACGAGGGCAGCCAGTTCATGGGAGGCTGGTTTTCTCTCTGCTCCCAGCCCTCCATGCAGCAAACCACTCGCAAGCCCCTTTCTTCTCTTTTTGACATGTCTCTTCCCGCTCTCCACCCACCCTCGCCTCCTCTTCTCTTTCCTTCGTCCTTGCAGCACGAATGGCTGGACTGGCAGGGAGTTCTGGGGGAGGTGTGTGTGTGTGCATGCATTCCTGAGGTGGGGAGCTCCCTCCCCATTCCGTGCGTCTAATCTCCTCACATCAAGTTCCCTCACCCCACCCAAGCATTTCTTTACTCTGCGCTTTTAGGGTGCAAGGCCATTAGCGACTTCCAGAAAGCCGAACTAAATTCTCAAATATCCTCTCTTAGCCACACACCCTTCCGATTTTTTTTTCTCCAGCAGTCCCAAGTGAAAAGTTTCCTCATTGTTGTGTCTTCCTCTTTCTTTAGTTTCTGGATGGCAGTTCACTTTTTCTGATTAAAAACTAATAGCCTGCTGTCACTTAACGAGCTTTTACTATGAGCCACGCAGTGTGCCAAACACGTCACACACATCATATCACTCATTCTTCACATGATGTTCATCATACAGATGAGAACACTAAGGACTTGAGCAACTGCGTAGTTGGCCCAAGACCACGCAGCTAGTTCAAGGTGGTATCAAAATTTGGACCTGTCCGTCAGATTCCAGGGCACTTTCTCTTCGTCACACTAGGGTTATGGAAGAGACCCTTGGACATTATATTCTTTCAAACTGCTTCCCAGCCAAGCTTCCTAAAAATGTGTAAGACCATCGAGTATGATCTGACTTCTTTAAGGAGTTTAGCAGACTCTTCCCATTTCCCTCTTCTCTGAAATCATTGGGGAGTGGAGTTGCTGTTAAAAGGGAACCCTGCAGTCAAAATGAGAGCCTGCACATCATTATCAAAGGTTCTCCTGGAATCAATTTTTCTCGTAGCAGCTGCTTTGGGCTTCTGGGTGCAATAACTTAAGCCCTAAAATGCAAACTTCTCACAATTTCAAAAATCTCCCTGTTGGCAGCTTTCCACTGAACTTGTTTCAGCATGTTCCTATGCTGACTGAGGACAAGCCACAATGTATCCCCAAATCAGAGTCAACTAACAGCCTCACACACTGGACACCCCAGTCCTGGTAAATTTCTTGCAGTTTCCTGAGCGAACCGGTTCTTTCCCGCCTCTCTGCCCCTGCTGTTCCCTCTGCCAAGCACCTCCACCCGAACCCAACTCTTTGCCTGAGAGTTTGTCCTTCAAGGCACCATAGCACCCAGGAAGGCATTTCCCCACCACCCCGCCCTGGAGGAGTCCTTATCTAAACCCTAAAGCAGCCCCTGGTGGTTCACTCTCTGGGTAGTAAGTGGGAGGCTTAAAACCTAGGACTTGTCCCAAATGTACTAAGTCAGGATCGCTAGGATGGAGTGTGGGAAATATGCATCTTAGCAAGTTCTCCAGGCCCCTGGGAAGATGTCCTAGTCCGAGCTTCCCAGAACTGAGTCATTGCTTCATCTTCAAAAGTTTTTTCCTGTACTTTAACAAAAAATCAACAAACACTTACGAGAGGCTTACTGTGTTCCAGGCATTGTGTGCATTTCACACTATCAACCCACATGGGGGGCAGAACAACCCTAGTGAGGAAGAGGCTGTTATTATCCCTGTTTTTCAGATAAGGAAACTGAGGCACAAGGAGATCAAAAAACTGGTCCGAGGTCACCTGTGGAGAGAGTGATAGAGCTGGCATATCTGTGGATTGCTTTCTTTAAATCATTTCATTTTTTAAATTTAGATAATTTATTTGTATTTAACGTAAAATCTTTGAGGGCAGGGATTTTCAGCTGTTTGTTCATTTCTAAGGCTAGAACAGTGCCAGGCACAGTTACCATCACTATATATTTGTTGAATGAATGAATGAAAGAAGGAAGGAAAATGGAAACGTTTAACATGAGGCTGAGGTGTTGGGTGTATGTTTTTTTTCACATACTCACTAAAAATACACTGACATAATTATTGCTATTAAAAAAGTCCCACCTAAAATCATGTCATATTTCTGCACTGGTTTCACTTCCCTCAGTTTGGGACCCCTGGGCTCAAGCTTACCTCTTGCTTTATACAGACCGCAGTAAATTGTCATTTTCTCTTCCAGACTGTGAGCTCCTGAAAACAAGAACTGGATGCTTATTTTTGTATCCCTGTGCTTAGGGTAAAAGTCAACTACTGCATTCCTCATTCTTGCCAGAGGGAACTGATTTTAGATTTGATGAAATCTAAATTCTTTCAAATCCTTTGAGATCTGAAAGGAAGCAATAGGAGTAAATGGATGGTAAATAACAGAGAAGGTAAGGAGGTCTGGACTAACCCACTAAAGGGAGGTCGTCCAGATTGACCTGATGGGACCAGAACACCTGCCAAACAACTACTTCCAGCTGACTCTTCATATCCCACAGACAAGCTACTTTTGACCTGGTGGCCTTTCCAGGCTGTCAGTTCTTTGCAGATAAAGATGTCCTTCTCACCCCTCTGTATCTTCAGAACCTGCTTAGTGCCTGGCACATAGAAGATGCTCAATAAAAACTGTGGGATGAATGAGAACTTCTTAAATACGTTCTAACGAGAAAAGTATAGCATGCTTACCCACTCATGTTCCCGTTTCCACAGTCTTCTGTGGCTCTAATATTTCCATACAAAATACCTTTGTGGGAGGGGATTTGGTTGGAAGGACTGACTTGAAGTTGCACGAGAAGAGCATTTTACATAAGCTGGAAAAATAATAATTAGCCCCATAAAGATGGGGGACAGTGAGGATGGCCAAGGAGAAGATTCTATGTCCAGCCTCACCCCAAGCCCCACTAGATACCTGAACTCCAGTCCCCGGCTGTCAAATTCTGGGGATGGTGCAGTGACCTCACCAGCTGGCATGAGCTCCAGGTCATTATTCAGAATATTGGCTCTGCTTTGGATGAGATGCCAACAGAAGTATCACAAGCTCACGGCAGGGAGGTGGGCAGGCAGGAAGGAAGTCCGTGGTGGTTAAGCTTTCCTTAGGTACACAGTTCCCAAGCCCAGAGCACATAGAAGCACAGGCAGGAGCTGCCGAGAGTCGAACAGTGAGGAAAGCATGAAGAAACAGAACTCAAGAGAGCGCTGAAGTTCCCAACTTTGCAGGGAACACCCAATTTCAGAGAATATCCTGATGGCTGATGAGAGGGCCAGGCCAGTGGGAAAAAGAAAAAGGAGGCTGACAGTCACACATCACATCAGTAGATGAGTTAGACGATGTGTTAAGTCCTCTCCAACTCGGAGACTCTCAATAGAATGGTGAGTGCACCCAACAGCATTTATCCAATATCTTGCCAATTTCTTTGCATTAAGAAAGAGAGTCATCATCTTCTAATAAGTCCAAGGGCCTGCACAGGGTCAAGGGAGGGGGAAAAAGAAGAGAAAGAGATAACAAACAAGAAGTGAAAGCTTAGAGAGTGTTTACTACCAGCCAGGCCGGACATTTTCATATGTACCACAGAATATTAAATTATATCCACCCCATGGGGTACTTCCTATGACAACTGCCCTCTTATAACTGTGGAAGCTTAGGCAGGTTGAATTGCTGTACTGTGCTGGTATCTCCACCCCAGTCTGAGAACCCCTGGGCTCGAGCTTGCCTCTATCTTTATACTGACCACAGTAAATTGTAATTTTCTCTTCCAGACAGTGAGCTCCCGGAAACAGGAACTGATTTATTTATCTTTGCATCCCTGTGCCCGGGGTTAAAGTCAACTACTGCATTCTTCATTCTTGCCCAAGGTCACCCAATAAGGGGGCGGTAGAGTTGGGATTTGACAACAGTCTCTCTGATCTCATCCCATTGTGGTTGGCAGCCTCTGAGCCGCCCCAATGATCCTTACCTCCTGATATTCACGTTCTTGCGTAATTTCTCTCTCTGAGTGTGGGCTGGACCTAGTGACTCGCTTACAACAAATACAACACAGCAAAAGTGATGGGATGTCACTTCTGAGGTTAGATCATAAAAGGACTGTGGCCCCATCTTGGGCACTTTCTGGTGCTCTCTTTTACATCACTCCCTCTGGGGGAAGCCAGCTGCCATACTGTGAGGCTGCACCACAGAGAGTCCCAGGTGGTGAGGAATTGACGTCTCTAGTCAACAGTCAGGGAGGATCTGAGGTCTGTCAAAAGCCACATGAGAGACCCCAGAAGGGAATTCTCCCCTTGTCCAGCCTTGAGATGATCGCAGCTCTGATAGGTCCTCTGAGTGCAGCCTCGAGAGAGACCCTGAGCCAGAACCACCAGCTAAGATGAGCCCAGATTCCTGGCCCAACGAAACTGTGAGATAATAAATGCTTGCTGTTTGCAGTCACTAATTTTGGAGGTCATTTGTTACCCAGCAATAGATGACTAATATATCCAATTAAAAAAGTATTCCATCAGGATAATCATTAGTTCTGTTCACATATTTCCACTTCTTTGTCCTTCTGGGAACATGGTAGGATGAATGTCCCTACTCCTTGAGTTTCATGTGCTTTGACCAATGAAATGTGAGTGGAAGTGACCTCTGCCACTCCCAGGCGAAAGTTTTAAGAGACAACGTGCAACTCACTACATCCCATTTTTCTTAGGTGGCAATCCTGGAAGTTTGGTGATGGAGCTTCCTCACCTGGGCTCCTGGCTGAGGACAACACAGAGTAGAACCAGCCAGTAAACTCAGGAGGGACAGATACTGTGAGTAACGAATCAACCTTTGCTGGGGTAAGCCTCTGAGATTTTGGAGTTGTTGTTACTGCAGCATTATCTAGCCTGTTTTGACTGATACAACCCACATTGTCTCTTTGACCATTATAAATTAACTCAGATTGTAACTTAACCTTCAGTTCATCAACAGACTGCATTATCATTTTACCCACCTGAGTTATTAAAAATATTTGCATCTAAACCAAAATTTGCCCCTCGTCACGTGATGTCACAAAGTAGGGATATCCATAAGGGTCATTGATTCACCATAGTCACATTTATAAGAATCCACGGGAGAAACTTCTCTTCTGTCTCAGTGCCAAAATAGCTCTTCTTTTTGGAGGCACAGATTATAATCTTAATTTTAACATATTTATTTTATTTCAAGCTCTGAAAGCATTAGGGAAAAAATAAATGATGCTATTTCCCTCTTTGCCTTGGCTGCTAGGAAGCTCAGAGGCAAATTAATGTCCATCTGTCTATAAGACATCCAGCAAGTCTATAAGACTTTATGGCACTTACTTTCAGTACTAACCTTGTCCTTGGCTTCATTTTATTTTTCCTATCATAATTTTTCCCTTGCTTATTTTCCTTACCCTGATTTCTTTACTTCTTTCCCTTGGTGTAATATATATCCATTAGGTATTTCACATCTACTTTAAAATGAAGGAAGAAAATAATAAAAATATGAGCAACATAACTTGAGAACATAAGTTTCAGAACAAGCTTATGCATTAGCATCAGAAAATATATGAATTTCAGCATTGCAAGAATTATTGTGCCTCAGTTTCTTCTTTTTTAGAAGAGTGTGGGTGGAGGTGCTGATAATACTTCCCTTAAAACTTTGTGTTGAGGATTATATTGGGAAAAGTGCTTGGCCCTTAAGTGCTCTTACCAAATTTTAGTTCCTTCCTTCCTCAACTCAAAACCTCTTCAGCAGCTATTTGCTCTTGAACTTGCTCAATCGTGCTCCTGGGTGACCTGGTGTGCTCAGAAATATCTGCTGCTGAGGAAATGGATTTTAGCTGCATCAGGAGAACATCAGGTCAGAAGGAAGTGGGGAGAAAGGGCTGGCTAAGAGGAAATCACGACTGTCCAGCACTTGCTAAGGAACTTAACATACATGAGCTCATGGAATCACAATGGGAAAGAGAGGGTGGAAATTCAGGGCTGGGGGACACTGCAATGTGTCCTAAGAACAGCTGTGGGACTGACTCTGAGGGGCTTCCAGAAGAACTTCTTTAGTTTGGTCCTGCTGGAAAGCAGGGGCTAGGTTATGCCAGTGAATATTTTTAAATTATTATCCATATGTGCAATTCTGTGTGATCTGTAGCGTGTAGAGCTCTATTGACATTTTGCGCTAGATGATTCTGAGTTGTGGGGCTGTCCTGTGTATTGTAGGATGTTTTGTGGTATCGTTGACTTCTACCCCCTAGATGCCAGTAGCCTCCCCAACCCTGGTCATGACAATCAAAACTGCCTCCAGACCTTGCCAGACGGTCCTTGGGGAGCAAAATCACCACCTCACCTCCTCGGAGAAACACTGGTGGACAGTTACAAAGCATCTGACACTGTTCAGTGTCTTTTAAGCACCCACAAAGGGTGTGGGGAGACAAAAATGCTTATGACATGATCTCAGCCCTCATGCAACTCGTAACTCACGCTCCAGTAGGGGAGATGGACGTGTCCACGTATACTTGCCACTACATGTGGCCCGCACAAGAATAGAGAAATGAACAGGCACAAGGTACAGACTGGGCTCAAAGGGGGAGTGACCAGCCCTTCTAAGAGTGGAGAGTAAGGGCGTGCTTCGGTGCAGCCTTGACCTGAAACCACTGATCATCCTCCCCAAAGGGGACCCCTGTCCCCTTGCCCCCACCGTTGTGATTCTTTTTTCAGCACTCTGCTTGTTTCCTTCATAGCAATGACTATAATTTGTAATTGATTTTTTTTTGTTTCCTTATGATTTTGTTTGTCTTCTTCCTTCACCAGACTATAAACTCCGTGAGAACAAGGACTGCTTCTGTCTGGTCTACCCTGGAAATCTTGGCTCTGGCACAGGGTAGAGCCCAAAGCAGGAACTCAAAAACTGTCTATAGAAGGAAGAAAACTAGAAAGGAACGAAAGGAAGGAGGAAGGAAGGGATGAAGGAAGGAAACAAGGAGAGAAAAACTAGAGATTCCCCAGGCAGGTAAGATGGGAAAGCATTCCAGGCGGGGAAAGTATGTGCAAAGGCCCAGAGGACAGGACTGGCTACACAATTTGATTGACCCAGTGCAAAATGAAAATGCAGGGCACCTTGTTCAAATATTATTAAGAATTTCAAGACAGCTATAGCAGAGCATTAAAACCAAATGTCGGCCCTTCTGCCTGCGGGGCCCTGTGTGAATGCCCAGGTCACCCATCCATGAGACAAACATCCTGACCCATCAGTAATCTCTGGAGTTTGTCTCTCTCAGTCCGCAGGTTGGTCTAATGAGGTAGTCAACATTCAGCAGCCACGCCATGTTTTCTAAGAGCTGAAGCAGGTTTCCCAGAAGAGAACAAAGCCCGTCTAAATGTGTTCTTCCAAACTCGATGTTGATATTAAGAAATACTGCAGGACCAGGTCACAGGGCATCACTTCCACAAAGTGTTGCTTGGCGGAAAGCTCGCGAAAACCCTCAGCAAGCCCCAAACAAAGTTGCAGTGTGTGGAGTTCTGGACAGAAGCCTGCTAGCCAAAGGCGGGAAGTGTACTGAGTTTCTACCTAACGAGGCTCATTCAGAGTCTAGTCTGGTCCTCCTCGACTCTGTGCCTGGCAAACACGACAATTTTTTATCAGCCCACAGCGCGAGCTGCGGATAAACGCTCTCTGATCCTGTCTTTGGGAAAACCTGTAATTGACAGGTTATCTTAGGGGAGGACTTTAATTAGGACTTACATGTTATGTTTTACTTCCACTTGTGATTACCTAAGTCATTTGGTCTGATCCATCCAAAGGGCCCCGGCACTGGGGCAGGTTACTGAGGGAAACTCTGGCTGGTGACCACTTTGTATGTGGTGTGAGTGTGTGTGAGTGCGTGTGCATGCACACACACATGCCCTCTCATGAGATTTGCACATATACCGATATGAAAAGGATAATTACTTTATTTACATCTCTTTTAAGCCTAGAGAAAGCTGGTAATCCAAGAATCCTTGGAAATTACCTTTTCTCAGGCAATATAGACTATAACCCGGTTACTAAGATCTCCTTCAGGAATGGAAAGGAAAAGGAAAGAAAGTCTCATTTACTGGGCACTTGCCTATCATATGCCAGGCTCTTTCGTGTACGTGATTTCATGAATCCTTCGCAAGAACCTGAGAGATGGGTACTAATGTACCCGTTTTATAGATGAGAAAACTCAACTCAGGGTTTTAGCCATATCCCCGATCCTAATGCCACGTCAGGATTATAACCC